TCCCGGTGTAGACAATGTGGTTTTCTCATAAGAACCTGTTACAAGTATAATGATATCTGTTGTATGGAAGTTCATAACAGTGGAACATGACATTTCTTTAATTCTTCTCGAGAAACCTTTATATGATGAATTCGGCCTCCAATTAATAAAGAACTATCCGGATTTAAGAATTACAAGTGGAGTACCGGCTTTCCACTAACACAGTACACATATTTTCAATTTAAAAAAATCATTTTTCGATGATTTCGGTTTAAAAAAAAAAAGTTTTATTGGAATCAAAGTGCATGCAAAGTTTGCTCTGTTCAATACTAAAACAAACATATATATATTGAACGTATTTTAACGTTAGTTATTTGTTCATAAAAACAGTTGAGCATATTTTTTTAACCAGACTTGAATAAATACAGAATAATGAATGATAGCGTAAAGGATGGGCGGGTATAGATATTTGAACAACCAAGAGAGAATTATATTGATTGTAATTGTTCTGCAACATATATTTGGAATGTTTAAGCATCCACATCTGATTTACATCATCCTGTAGGGTATAATTTAAGAAGCTCAGTTTACATTGGTGACGTAAAAGAGGAGCGAAAGATACCAAAGGAACATTCAAATTCATAAGTCGAAAATAAACTGACAACGCCATGGCTAAAAAAGAAAAAGACAAATAGACAAACAATAGTACACACAACACAACATAGAAAACTAAAGACTGAGCAACACGAACCCCACCAAAAACTGGGGGCGATCTCAGGTGCTCCGGAAGGGTAAGTAGATCCTGCTCCACATGTGGCACCCGTCGTGTTGCTCATGTAAGTACAAACCCGGTAATAAGTCTAATTCGGTAGATCACATTCGGGAAAAGGAGACGCGATTGTAGTTACGACATTAGGAACATATCCGCTATCATTTGTGAAACGGATATTCCGTAACGGCCAACCAACTCGTGATTGCGTCCGTAAAATTTACGAAGGGATGATTTCAACTTCACCACTTGGAAATCTTGGTTTAATAGCTTCCTTGTGAGCAGCAACCCTCTTTCAAGGAAATCATGATAGGAAATACAAGCCCTGGAGTATCGTATCAACTGGGAGATATATACTCCGTATAATAGGTGTGTGCAATCGGAAAAAAGGTTTCGAAAGGATGTTTTCAGACCCAGCGATGTAATGTTGTGTGACAGGACTATTTAAATTATGTATATAGTAGAGTGAAAGAAGATCGCAGTTTTCGTCTTTTGATAAATTCTAAGAACTATAAAGCTGATCAAAGATACCAGGCTTAAAATTTTAATTATTATATGAAAGGAATTTTTTTTTTAATGGTAGAAAAACCGTAGCATTTCGAGTGATTTAAAAGTATTATGAACAGCTAATTCCCATAAAATGTTGTATAATTGAAATTTCATGCCAGTTCAGGAGTTCTGACTGCTGGGTTTACATGTACCCATGGAAACGAAACGTCCACTATCAATTGCATTGGCCAAGTTGCTGTTAAAAGTTTCGATGGATACAACGCTTATGATTTTGTACACAGACTCATCCATCAGTGGTGATCTTATCAAAACGGTTGAAAGGCCAAATTAGTTAGAAAATTGAAAAGGATTAAAAAAACTAAAATTCTTAAAAACAAATGTACCAAAATCTGGTTAAAGCCATCTATGCATAGTGATAAAAGTTTCATGAACAGTAAATTTCCCAAAAAAGATTACAACTTAAATTTGACGTCAGTACAGTAATACATAAAACATATCTATAATTGTCTAAATTGATCTCGTTAGAAACTTTCATACAGGTATATTTAGAGATTTAGAATGTATCTACATTGTAGTTCTTTGACCAAGCAGTTTTAATAGCTTAAACATAAAAACCATATTGCATGGGCTTTCCCTACGCGGACAACAAGATATTTGTTACAGAGGCAAGACAGTGTCAGACATTTGAGTCTTGGCAATATGCGCTGCGCGCAAGAGAATACATTGCCCCTTTAAGTTATTTATTATTCTATAGATGTTGTCGTGACCTCACAGTTAATAAATAGGGAATAGGACTTAGTGTTCACATCTTCTCTTTTACAATATGATTGGCATAATTTTTTAAGCTCATGATAATTCAACCCATTGACGTTCACATTTCGTAAAGACTTGCTTTCTGACAATGATCTAGACACCTACACGTGGAGAACCGGTTACTTACTAATGGAAAAGTTAAAATTATTTCTTTAAACAAGCGCTTTAAAAATTAATATTGTGCAGAATGCAACTTATAAATGGGTGCCACATGTGGAACAGGATCTGCTTACCCTTTCAGAGCACTTGAGATTACCCTCGGTTTAGGTTAGGTTCGTGCCGCTCAGTTTTATATGTTTTGTTTGTATGCTGTTTTTCTCCTTTTGGTCGTTTTCGATTTTTCCACGACATTGTCAGTTCGTTTTCGACTTATGAGTTTGATTACCACTTTGATATCTTTCGCCTCTCTGCTTGGGTTATTGCACGTAATGAGATTGCAGGATTACCTATCGGATGTTCTTCTCCTATGTAATATATTAATGAGTAACATTCAAGATTTTCTGCCTTTTAACCATGATAGCCATCGTACAATAATTTAATTACCATTTTTCCATTTTTGAGTATCTGTTTTATCTATTTGCTCCAAATTTTATAATATTACTATGATCATCAGAAGAATTTTTTATTATTTGATTTAAAAAAATAAAAGTCGATATAAGTTTCTAACGGTTTCAGCTAATTCGAGATTGTTAGGTCAAAGGAACCATATTAAACGATTAAATGTATGTAAAATTCGTATAATTTTCATATGTACTAGACATAAGCCAATACTGTTTATTGTGCATTTCCATAGAGACAGACAATAAGGAATAATACAATAAATATACAACACATAAAGTTTCCATCATTGCACATATTCCTTCTTTTTTTTTAATTTCTTAACATAAATATTTATGATTAATTGATCGCATCATTGTGCATATTCCCTTTTTTTTTCAACATGAATATTTCATAATGCTTCATTGATCGCATCATATTTTGAAAATAGTAGTAAAGTTCTTTGCATTAGAAAGTGAAAAATACATATAACATGTATAATAGTAATACGTCATAAGTATGAAAAAGTGCAGTAGATACAATTTCAACAGTATATTGAAAATGTTAACTTCTTGCATTATACTAATATCGACCGTATGAAATTTGAGGGTATAATACGAAAGTCGATTAAAAATCAAAAGTCAAGTTACACTCAGATAGGCATGGGTGTAAAACCATTAAAATCTCTCTCACTCTCTCGCGTATACACTTGATTTTCCTATCACTATCTTTCCGTCAATGTGGTTTTATATTACGTCATTTCTGCGTCTTGTTAGGAATGAAATCTACGTCAGTACCTTGAGAAAAGGTATTCATATTCTAATTAGGATAATTTTCATATCGCGGCAAAGACAAACTTGATAATTCATAAGTTGATATGAATATGTAGGTCGGATTGAATAACTATCAATAATATAATACATAAGAATTACAGACGGATGCTTGAAAATGCCAAGCGGGCAAAATGATCTAGTCAGTTCAAGGATGAAGGACGTCAAAAATCACAGTATAATAAAAATATTTGTGGAAATGGAAATGAAATGAAATGAATCAAGCACATATGCGTCGTCATGTAAAAAACATTCTCCTTTGCAGAAATAAAACGCAATGCATTCAATTTCATAGTCATGTCCAATACCAAGTATAAAAACTAGGAAATAAGGAAAACCAATTGAAATGTTAGATTGATAATTCTAGACGCATTGGATCAAATGATATAACTGAATGTATATCTAGTAAGTTGGAAAACTGTGACTATGTACAAAACGGTATAAAATGAAAACAACACGTTATAAATTTCATGCGCCCGAAGCGCTTTTCTGGCATCAAATAATATATAATCACCAAAACATAAAACAAATTTCCCTGTTTCTATCGTTCCGTAGTTTTTTTTCGCAGTAATCGGAATCAAAGCTATTTCGAATTAAAACCGAGGTAAAAAGAACATCGATGCAGACATGCTTACGTCATACAAAAACATTATTATCTGCTTTGTCCGCTGGTGAGAACAAACAATTGTTTCCGAGAATAATTAATTGTCATTCGCGCTCGATATTAAATTTGTAGAATGATTTTGTGTAAAGTTCCTTTCGGAATATTTAATTCTATCATGAACGAGACATTAATTAAGACAATTAATCAGCTTTTCTTTTTTTTGCATCTGATTTTCTAAATTAAAATTAGTCTTGAAAACTTTCCAACGGTTATTCCAATCTTGCAGAAGATGCAAGTTTGTAAGTTTCTTTTAAAAAGATATCCTATAAATCTCTTGTCCTTTGACAATATAAAAAGGTCCCAAATATCAACATGACTCAAGAAACATACATAAACATCAAACATTAATTTTTTTAAGATAGAGTGGCGATGTTTTCAACATCAACTTATGAAGTAACTGAACGCTACACATTTCTATTTTAGTATTCTCTTTGTAATTATTTTTCAGTACAAAAAAAAATGACAGAAGTGTTAATATATAATAATAATCAACCAATAAACTGTTTTTTATAATTTGTATTATTAAATTAATCTTTTTTAAATAATTGGCAAAACCTTTCTATATTTTAGCTCGTGACCTTAGGTAATAATATCGATCATTCCCGTGCAAATAGTAATTTGAGTAGTCGTTCCACATGTTCATCTAAGAGATAACTGTTAAAATATTTAATTGTTTTATATTTACTACAATCAATGAATTTACTAAAATCGAAGATGATCAAATAGTAATAAATGTCTGTTGAAAAATAGCTAAGCAACAAGGTAATGCTTGTTGATTTAAAGAATTCAAAACTACAATAGAAATGTTTTAGGTCAATCCATATTTATAATTAAACTATATCTAACATATATATTAAAATTTGTGATCTTTAACGAACATTATTCCGCTGCTGGTCGGTGGGTTGAGTCAATGATGGATTCTTATATGTATATGTTTCTTCTTGGAGCAGGTATGATTACTTTAAACTCTCCCATAAAAAATTGCGTGCTGATTTATTTAGTTCTCAACTTCATTAGTTAAATAATTGAAATGTGCAGAGTTGTGTCATTGGCACTCATACCACATCTTCTTATTTATATGTCTGAAACCAAAGTGTTCTGTTTTTAAAGTAAAATCATATTTATTTTAATTTTTTTATTAAATTTTCAACTAAAAAGAATTACTTTTTAATAAAATCATCTTCAGAATTTTTTGAAGCCTTAAATTAAGGTTCGTAAAATACACATTTTTTTTTTTGAAAAATATCACTCCGAATTTTAAATATATCTAATTTTTACTGAAACCTTAAAAGGTTATAATTTTAAAGTTTTTCAAAGATTTGGTAAGTGCAGCTCACATTGGATAGCTGGTGTTCTTCATTTTGTCTGAAATGTGAAAACCTTAATGTAGAAAGAACATATAGAAAATTGTTTCCAATATTCAATGACTGGACAACCTTTTAAGCACGGGAAAAACTGACAAATGTCAATCTCTACTCTAATAATACGGAGTATAATTTAATTGTTTAAACTCTCTAAGGCTGAATGAATTAACGGATTAAATGGCATCCTTAACACTCACAAGATCCCAAACATCCCTAACTATGAGACATATTTCCAACAATGTTTACTGTCTGCACTTTCAATTGACAAAAACATCGACAGACAAAATGTAAGCGGTCGTCTCAAAAATAGTAATAATCGTATATGAATATTCAGAGTAGTTTACTGGTTTCAAAAGATGTTTGCCTGCAAGTTTCTTATACTTTAATACAACAACAATATTTTTAGGTTTTTGTTGTAAAGTTTTTTGAAATACAATTTATATTTCTTTTCAAACTAAGTATGCAGAAAGCGAAAGGGCCTCGGTATTTCTTGATAAAATTGGAAAATGAAAAAAAAAACTATATTTAAGCAAAAAATATTCAATCAAACAATGTTATCCGTCTATTGACGGTACATGTCTTTTCAATGTCTTTTGTTTTTTGGCCTCTCATGCCACCATAATGTAATTGCTCTTTATTTTATAGGTTTTTTTTTTAATTCACCAATTTGAAGTTCAACTATATTTTGTATTCAGCGACAAGACGATTTTATTTTCTTGTGGTTTTTTAATTCACCAATTTGATGTTCAACTTAATTCTGTATTCAGCGACAAGACGATTTTCTTATAGTTTTTTTTTAATTCACAAATTTGATGTTCAATTATTTTGTATTCAGCGACAACACCATTATGTTATCAACATTTTTGTTGATCTCATGTGACGTAATCAATGTTGGCATCATTTTGGTCAACGGTCAGTCTGTTCGTGATAACGTCCTAGGAACTTACGAAGGACAACATGTTAACTGTAAGTGACATTGGTCTGTTTCGAGAGTAATTGAATATTTCTATTTTAATAGAAATATTTCCGGTTTTGTCATGTTTCTTGATTGTCGCTGATTACTTGAAATGACTATGGAATGATATTCCTATATAATACATACATAATGGTTATCCTGCCGACACGCTTGGTCTCGCTCCGTTTATAGGCTATGCAGTTATTTTATGGTGGCTTTTTTGTTTTATTTATTAATTTTTTTATTTATCCATTCATTTATGTTTCGGTAAATCGAACCATGTTTCAACTGACGTCTGTATAATACAATCATTTTTACAACCATGATTAATACGTAAACATTATGATATTTCCGATAGTTTTCAATGATTGATATCAATTGCTTTTACTTTTTGAATCATTGGTAAAATAGAGCAGTTGCCCTAACTCAGTTTCATCCTTTTCGTAATGTGATATAAGAAATTATTTTACGATGCATATTGATTTTCAATGCACATGCACATAACAGAATGGATTAAAATAACGTTGTTCTAGAAGGTTTCAGAAATAGACATCAATGTCCAATTTATGTCCTTATTTCAAAAGTAATACATAATAAAAAATGTTCTGATTAATTTTGTTCGGATTATGATTTACCCTTAATTCATTTCGGCAAATTGATATTAATATATTTTTCAATTTAAATGTTTTTCCATATACCAACATGTAAAAACTTACCAAGTTACACAATGGCAGAAAAATGTCTTATTATCTTCAGTTTCTATACAGTCATTATTCTTCCCTTAGTTTATTTATTTTGTATTTACATTGTGTCATAGGTCAAATTTATTTGTTCAGTGTATGTTCAATGGTGTTAATATGTCCTTTGATTGAGTTAAGCTATTTCAGTTGATATTTTATAGTGTGTCTTTCTATGTTGTGATGTTACACTATTGTTTCAGAAAAAGGGTGAAGGATTGGTACCATTAAAACGTTTAAACCCGCTGCATTTGTTTGCACCTGTCCTAAGTCAGGAATCTGATGTTCAGTAGTTGTTGTTTGTTGATGTGGTTCATAAGTGTTTCTCGTTTCTCGTTTTTTATATAGATTAGACCGTTGGCTTTCCCGTTTGAATGGTTTTACACTAGTAATTTTTTGGGGCCCTTTATAGCTTACTGTTCGGTGTGAGCCAAGGCTCCGTGTTGAAGACCGTATTGTGACCTATAATGGTTTACTTTTATAAATTTTTACTTGGATGGAGAGTTGTCTCATTGGCACTCATACCACATCTTCTTATATCTATTAAATTGCCCCTTAGTATCTTCTCGCATTTAAAAAAGAGAGAAAAGAATATTGCAAACCGATTAACCTTTAACTATAATCAGCATACAATAAAACAATGACATTGTTTGCCACCTTCATAAAGAAAGCTGATTTCAACTTTAGAAAATAACAATAATTCCATATTTCCCCGTATTTTGTGAATTGTGTCCTGAACATTTTCCGGTTCATATTTTATTAGAAATAAAAACCCATCTACAATCGATTAAACATTCTTCTATGTATTAACCATGGCGCTTACAAAATCAACCATTTTTTGGCTTCATTTCGTACATTAATAAGATCCATTGAAAGACATTTTTATTTCATGTTGATTCGGATTATGATTATAAAATCTTTCCAATTTTCCAATGGAAGCATTTGATATTGTTTTGGTTATTAAAATTATTATTTTCTTCCGTCTTTAGTTGCTTAGTTGTTCTTGGAGTTTTAAGGTCTTTTCGCCATTCTGTGGATTTTATTCTGATACTTATATTAAGCCTTTTTACTTTTCTAACATATTCTTTTAACATTGTGTGATTACTATTTGTTATATTTCATAAAATTTTGATCTGATTATATTTTTTCTCTCCGTCTTGCAGAATATTTGTTCCTCGACATGCGATAACATACTAAGTATTTTAAAATATCTATTCAGTTAAAGAGCTTTTTAAACTTACGAAACTATAATGTACTATCAGCAAACGAGTGTTTAAGCCTTTAATGTAGAGTGAAGTTGTGGACGCTTTTCTTCTCAAATATGTTATTGTTCCAGATGACAAAGCCTCACACAGTATGGTATCATTTGCAAAAACTATTTTTTTGGACTACCTAACAAAAATAACTAGGAATTCACGGCAAATCTAGAAATTTCACTTACACACCTCCACAATTCACGCAAGAAGAAATTTTAGAAAAGGAAATATGTTATTCTCTCTCCTTTGGTATTAACATAAAAAAGAACAAAGAAAATTTTCCGTTTTTATATTGGATATACAAAAAACAAACAAAAAATGTTTAAAGAACAACATATAGCAGGTTTTTTCTATATGTTTTGTTAAACATCTTCCAAAAATATTTACTACCATTCATTTTACCATGAAACATAGCCTTTAAAAATATTGTGATGAGTTATAATAAAACAAGTGGTGTCGATCAGATGAGGAGTCTTAAATATTCTAAGAATCTACTCCAATATCTACAAACACAATCATTACAATTTTGCAATAATATCAAAACTTTTGGTTTTTGTACACTACATTTCTTAATACTCAATTAAAAGATCAACTACTAGTGTCTACTTGTTAAACAGTGCATTTTCTACAAAAAAGGAAAACGCAAATACTAATTTCTTACACATGAGATCACAAAAATATAGACTAAGTGTTATCCTTCTTTGTGAATAATCGCATTGATAGCAACAACTAAAACAGAACCGCCTTGGTGGTTTCATGGTAGTGGGTTCGCCTCGAGTTCGGGAGGTCGTGGGTTCGAACCCCGGAAGGGTCAAACCAAAGACTTTAAAATTGGTATTTGCTGCTTCTCCGCTAAGCACGCGGCATTAAGGAGTAAGAGCAAAGACTGGTCGGCTCGGAGTCAGAATGATGTGTCCGGGTAAGGTTACATGTCTTCTTGCGGACTGCTACCTTTGTGAACTAGCACGTTAAAAATCCGGCTCAGCGTGTCGGTCTAGTACAAAGCAGGATCAATATTCATATTACATTAACATGTTCTCAATATGCATATTAATTTGCCGTACGTTAAGCAGTCATCCATCATCAACAACTAAAACAGCAAAGACGATATTATTATAATATCCGAGTTTTTTATCTACAGATTATTCATAGTTTCGTGAACTGATATATCAACAAATAGACAGCATTCCAATTAATACTAATTGTAAACCACTACTGACAGTCTTGTTTTAATATGTTTTCGTTTGATGCACAATTCAAACAAAACCTTAAAGATAAAAAGAAAGAAAAAATCTTTTAAGTTCTTTCACTTCAGATATATTGATGATACCCTGTCGTGTAATTACCAGCATTACAGCGAATGTTGCATTTAAAAAAAAATAATGAACAGATATTTACTGATAACTCAAAAACAATATCATCAAGTTTATGAGGAAAAACGACTGAAATCGACACAACTTAAGTTGTATGGCCATCATCACGAATCGGTTGATCAATAAGATATGTCGCATGTTTTTGCGTCATTTATCAATTAAATGGTGACTTCCGATTGCATCCTATTATATGTACACATTATGACATTTTGACTATATAAATAAGAGGATGTGGTATGAGTGCCAATGAGACAACTCTTCATCC